CGAGCTTATTGTCAATGACAGAAGTTTTACAATTAATTACAAAACATAATTTATATAAATGTTCAAGGTTTCACATGCATCGTGTAACTGGTAGATTGGTTTATGAAAGTAATTACAAATGTACAGAATAATCCAGCAACCTAATTTTCTTTAAAGAACATTACGGATAATTATGGTGACTATATTTATCTTACAAGTAATAACAAAATTTTGAAAAAGGAGGATGAAGTAGTGATGGCAACGTCAAGAAGTACAGAAACGAGGTAGGGATGAGTTCACAAAACCATATACAAAAATCACTACATGAGGAGCCAAACCTTTCCAAGAATAACTTTTTTATCTTCAACTAAATGTTGAATTCCTTTCACCTGCATGAATTCAAGCTTGAATAAAAGCATTTAAATTGAACAATGCTATATAGTGGCTAATAACCATAAGTTTGTAAGATTGACTCAGTAGTTACTGGTTACTTATGTAGCGATTTTTGTATGGTTTTGTGAACTCATCCCTACCTTGTTTCTGAACTTATTGGCATTGCCATCCCTACATCATCCTTATTTTTTAAAAAAACAAACAAACTTGTAACTTGTTTTCCCTCTTTTTTTTTAAACGATCAATATTGATGAATGACAGTCGCCATGAAGGTACCAGTTTTAGCCTGGCGTGATGAATTGTCTTGATGGACATCATGAGTTGAAGTTAGTGAAACGCTATACCGCTTCTGAACTCCCCAACGTAAAATGTAATATTTTGGGATACTTTTATAAACACCTAACTTAGTTTAGCCAGAAAACATCACTAAAGTAGAGTAGTGTAACAGGCAAGTTATTATTATTGTTGATTATTCTGACGTCAGAAGGGCTAGTTCACTAACACTTGAAGTTGTTGCGATGATTTACACAAGATACTTTTATAAACACCTAACTTAGTTTAGCCAGAAAACATCACTAAAGTAGAGTAGTGTAACAGGCAAGTTATTATTATTGTTGATTATTCTGACGTCAGAAGGGCTAGTTCACTAACACTTGAAGTTGTTGCGATGATTTACACAATTAGATTGTTTTATGAGAGATTTGAGACTATGACATGCGTCGGCCATTTTTTTTTCCCGGCTCTTCCCTACATACTAAGCGCTACCGTACTTAGTGATTAAAACATTGCATTTCCTGAAACGCATTTTTGTTGCTGATTTTTAATACATCCAAGGGTAAAGGAACTTCAGCACGTGAGGATGACTAGGAAATGTATTTATATAAACACAAAATCTGTTTATTTAACTTTATATATTAAAAAAAAATCACTTCATTCTACATTTTAAGTTTCATTGAGATATTATAAACTAGGTTTAGTTACGCAGGGTCTCCGAAGGTGTCCTGTTTCAAGAGTAAATAAAACCAAAACTTGTGACAAATATTTTTATTTCTTGCTTTTGAAGTTCCTATGTCATGCTGTGGTGTAGCGTACAGAGCGCGTAATTCTTCTCGTGATTCATGACATGCGCACGTTTTACTTATGTTACGACGGTACAAATCGCGACGTTAAGTGTGTTCCTTATGTGAAGCCATTTTAGTGTCTACTGACTGGCTGACAGACAACATACTACTGTATAGTGGTGTGAATGGTTAAAATCAGGTGACACCCTCGGGGAAATGAGTCGAGTAAAATACAGCTGGGTTGCAAAGTTTTGTCCTTTCTGTTCAAGTTAACACCACCGAAGGCTCTGGATATAAAAAAAATAATAATAAAACAAAAACAAAAAAACGAAATGACGAATACCTCTCCGGGTTTTTAAAGAAATATAAAAAAGTTGCTTCATGCTTTCAGCAGTAGATCAATGCTAAATTTTAACACAGTCCTGCCAAAATACGTCAGTCGTGTGACGTCACCATAAGGCTAAAGATCTCAAAGGCTAATTTCATTTTTTTAGTCCATTTTAAATAAAGAAAATATATTCAACACTAATTATTTGAGATTACTTACATT